GTGTTTCCATAGTGTATGACCAGATTATCAGAGGTCTTTGGAACCCACTCTCGTACACATATAGGCTTTGGACCGTGTACTAGAGTAATTAGCCTTTGGGGCAGCTCTGCATACGTATGATCAGATTATCAGATTATCAGCTATCAGATTTGAATGGCTTGCCTTGTACATCGAGATTACTCTGTACATGTGTAAGGTTATTCATTGGGTACTCTTTTTGTTGTGATTTTTCAGTATTTATTCAATTCTCAGATTTCAGATTATGGAATTCAGTTAATTTAGTTTCCAGAATAAAGCTTTCTGCTTATAGTATTGACCAGTAACAATATTTCATAGATTTTCATGAATATCAGATTATTCGTTAACTTTACATTTACTTATCTAGAATTATAGAATTTCAAAATTACAGAATTGAATAGCTTTGCAATGTCTATCGGTGTAAACCGATACATGAGTATAGTCATTTCAGGTACCTTTTTGGCATGACTTTTCAGTGTTGTACAGCTTATAAGATTTCAGAATACAGAATTTAGCTTTTCAGTTTAAAGAATAAAGATTTAGCTTAAAGTACTGTGAATGATATTTTTATCATAAACCAGTTTTTAGAATGTTAGCATAAATGGAAAAAGTATTTTATTTACAAAATTATCCACTCACTGAGTCATAGGCTCACATTTTTTTTACAATTTCTCTTATCAAATAGTAGCTGAGTTGAGCACTACTGGGCCAGCTGATCTATCGAGTTGAACTATAAATTGTCAAGCATTGTATGACTCATCTTATCAATTTAATAGCTCATATTCTGGAATAGACACCTCTTTTGGTCAGAAATTAGTTCCATGTTTTGGGCCTACTATGTTTTGTATATATTATACATTTTGGGTACTGTGGTTTATAAACTATTGCAAAGGTCGAATTGCCAGTGTTGTATTTGAATAGTTGATTTTCTGTGAGCCAGTGTACCCTATTTTAAACTATATGTATCTGTTTGGGATACTGGATTATATATTTCAGGTGGTTTTAGTCTATAATTCAGGGGGAACTCTGCCAAATTTTTTACAAAGCATATCATAGTCAATACAAGTCAATATTGCCTTGATGGTGGGTCCGACACTTAACTAGTATCTACCATCGGCGCACGACACGTGTCGGGATTTATTAGGATGATTCGGGACGGGTTGTGTCATATTCAGCATCAGATTGATTTAGTACATGATGCTACTCTTCCTAACCAGAAGCCTTATACGATGAGTCTTACTGAACACGAGGAGTTACGCAGATAAGTGGAGGAGCTTTTGGCGAAATGGTACATCAGGGAAAGTCTTAATCCTTGTGCCATTCCTGCTCTCCTTATGCAAAAGAAAATGGCACGTGGCGTATGTATTGGCTGATTTAGCATCCACATATGTATCCACGTGAGGTCGTGATGAATGAGATTATCAATTGCAAAATTTAGTGACGAATTTGGTGATTTTTTTAAGTTTGATGATCTTTTGAAATTTTTTTGCAAAATTCAGTAACCATTTAAGTTATCATCTGTACATTTTTCAATAAAATAATATTACATGCAAACTCAAATTCTTTTCTTATTTGTTAAATATACATTTTAAAAAAAATCATTATTTCAAAATATATTTTTCCCTTCTCTCTACAAAAATAAATAAATAAAAAGGTCTTGAAAAAATTAATAGCATGTAGAAAAAGAAGGCATGACTAAATACTAATAATTTTCAATGTTACATTCTCTAAAAAAATCACTATTTCAAAACTCATTTTTCAAGATTTTCTTTTTTGATAGAGAGAAGGGAAAAATGTATTTTTGAATAGTGATTGAATGTGTGGTACAAAAATAAAGAAAATTTTTGGATTTACGTGTAATATTATTTTATTAGAGAATGTGTGTATAATAACCCAGACGGTTACCGAACGTTGCAAAATATTTTCACAAGATCATTAAACTTTAAAAATCACCCCATTCATCACTAAACCCCCATTTGACAGCAATTTTTCACCTCAAAAAATCAAAAATTTGACTACTATTTTACTATTACAGCTGTAATATTTGACTTTTTCACTCACAGGTGTGATCCACTTGTTTTTCTAACGGTCAAAAAATTAATTCCCATAATTACTACTGAATTGCCCTAAACTTTGCAATTTGTAATCCCGTTCATCATTGACCTCCAGCTGAGACATAACGCCACGTATGTAGCCACATTAGCATTCCTTCAAATTTTGATGGACCATGAGGCCAATAATAAACGGGAATACAAATAGCAAAGTATAGTGATGAATGATGTGATTTTTAAAGTTTAGTGATTCATTGAAATTTTTTTGTAAAGTTCAATGACCATTTGGGTTATTATTCCATCAAATGTCTAAATGGAGCATCAATTGTTTAAACAAATAAACTGAAAATCTGAAATTTAAAAGGAAAATGACAATTTACGTTCACGTAGGTATCAATTAAAATAAATTATATTTATATACCAGTTCGTTTATTCATCAAGTGCTTGTATATAATATACTGCTACTTTTAAACATCAATAATAATAAAATTTGGCATGTTACATAAAGGCAGACAACTTGTGTCATAGAAAGAGACTGATTCATTTCAAGTAAAAATCCTAATCAGTTTTCTTACTTGTTTATAAAATTTTGTCGATGATGGACATGACAATTTGAAATTAAAAATTTTACACTACACTCATCGTTCAAACTTTATATGAATGTATGAAGACTTTTTCTATTTGGTGATGAATCGAACAATTTTTACGTTCTTTGTCGCTAGCTTTCTTCCTTTCTTAAACATCGGATATTTTTATTAATGCACTCTTGACTACATCAGAAAGACGAGTGATCGCCTCGTATAACTTGATGACAAACTCTAAAAGGAACTTCTGCATTTGATTTTTTGAAATTATAGTCAACCATAATCATTTAATCATAGATTCTGCACACATACTCGTTGAGTTATGATTTTAAATAATTAATTAAAGATTATAAAGATACCAATAATTTAACATTGTCTTCCAATAGACTATTATGCTTGACCTGACCATATTATAACAAGTCATGCCCGATTGTTTTTATTGGGAAAATTGATCAAACATGAAGTAGTAGTTGGCTCCAGTTAGATCCTTATAAAAAGTTATCGAAGAAAATTGCATTCATACTATTTCTATATATATATAGTAATGTTTACACTTCATTTTCAGGGTAATTAGGTAGATGCTGTTCAATTTTTGTAGTACCAGTCCCTAACAACTATTTCCTTCCAGAAATTTGTTAAATATTTTAATTAGAGAAAATTGCAGTAGCAGTCCCTAACATTTTCTTTTTTTGCAGACTTTACTCTAACTTTCATTTTGTGTCAGCAAAGGTCCCTAACCTTTCATAAATATGCATTTGAGGTCCATCTGAATGGAAACTGTCCAAAACACCGTAAGCTGAAAGGAAAAATTCCTTGAATTATCTGTTGCCGTGACGATTTTATTGAATGTTGATACCTTTTTAGATGATTTTATTAGATATTGATTTCTTAATCTTCCCGGTCAACTAATGGTGTTTTGGACAGTTTCCGTCTAAATGAACTTCAGATGTATATTTATGAAAGGTTAGGAACTTTTGTTGGCACATAATGAAGATTAGGGTAGGTCTATAAAAAAATGAAAAGATTAGGGATTGCTATTGCAATTATTCCTTTTAAATAAAACAAAAGAAAAACTCATTTTCTTTTTGAACCCTGTTGGTCCCCTCCAATTAAGGCTAAGCACACTCTCTCTTACTTTTCAGTGGGTAGGATAGGGAGGCGAGAGTGAGGGAATATGCCGATCGAGTGGATTGGTGGTTGAGAGAAGAAAAAATAGTATATGGAGCGTTCTCAACTAAGATCTATACTTTTTTTCTAAATTAGTGTTAATGCATGATATTTGAAAAGGACGGAGTCCGACTCGAGTTTTGAAATCGAAACTCAAATATTCAAAAGATAAATTGTATCTACATTTTTTTGAAGTAATTATGTAGATTTTCACTATGCAATGTTCAATGCCGTACGAGTACTAATTCCTTATTTGATTTTCATTTTATTGAAATTTATTTTTCTCAAATTCATTTTCGATTATGCGTGAACTCATAACTTTTCTACTTTTTAATTACACAATCTAAAAAAGAATCTCTTCTCAAAAAATAAAAAATCAAAGAAGTGCTCAGTAACGGGCCGAAATAGAGGAAGAAATTGTTAAATATAAACATTAAATAACCAAAATTTTGATGAAAAACTGATCAATCTCATTAAGAACAAAAAACCAGTTGAATATTAATTCCAAGGGTCATTATGAACATTGAAGAGAATGACAAAAAATATGTACAAAAATTTCTTTGATTGTGTTTTATATGCAGTAATGAAAGGGACTAGATGGTGTGTTACACGAGATTTTTACTTACTTCTCCTCTTTCGTACCGTTCAATAGCATCTAATCCCGTCAAAGTTAAAGCCTTTCCTCTTGTTCTAAAGGATTTACAAGAGAATTGTACTTCTTGAAACATTCCAAATCAGAAGGAACAACTCCTTTGAGACTTTTCAGATTAGCCTTAGCTCCATGAGATAAAAGATGCATTGCAACTTGTACATGTCCTGCCTCGACTGCTCGTAGAAGGGGCGTATAGCCAGCGCCATCGACCAGATCAACCCGAGCCCCGTGGCTAACCAAAAGCTTCACACTTTCAATATGACCCTTAAAAGCAGCTCTATGCAAAGGGGTCCAACCATATTGATCCCTTCCATTTACGTTTCCCCCTTGAGCTAGACAACTTTTCATGGTATGAATATCATCAATTCTTGCAGCCCTATGTAACATGTCCCCTAAATGTAACATATCATATAGGTGCAAATTGCCCTTATCGACCGCTAGAGAAAAAGCGGTCTTCCCTTCTTTAGTCAAAACATATTTGGCGAGAAACGAGTGGTTTAGTAAGAATTCGACTGCTTCAACACTCCCCTCGTGTGCAGCAAAATGGAGCGGCGTCCATCCATTAGAATCGGTAATATCAGGATCACTTCCTATAGAAAGAAGAAATT